CCCCAAAACCCCAAAACCCCAAAACCCCAAAACCCCATAAAATTATATAAATATTGAATCCATTGCCAAATGTATATTTCAAGAGTAGGAGGTAGCTCAGGCCTCAAGTCTTATTCTGGCTTGGGCCTTAACACAAAGAAGGGACTTACAAAGGTAATGTAGGCTTTGAGAGAGTTTAGAGAAAGGCTTTTAAGAAGACTTCAGAAGTAGTTAATTGGGCAGATATGAGCCCTGGGGAGTTAACTAGGTACGTCAGCTGAGAGGTGGGGTTGGGAAGGTTGGGGTTGAGGGAGTTTGACGATTTTAGTGATATTTACCCGCCAGTGTTTCAGAGGAATGAGCTGTGTCATTTTAATAATTGTGATTATGGTACTGAAGCTGAAAGTACCAGTCTTTATAAAAGACTGCTATGCTGCCAGAGAAACAAAATCAAGCCCCAAGGTAAATATTTTCCTAACTTTAGAGCGTAAACATAATAGTGAAAGAGCACGGAAATAATTGGAAATTTATTAAATCAAACCTTCTAGCAGAATTGTTTATAAAATAAGCTTAATTTTGGACAAAGAAAGTCTTCCAAGAATCATGATAATGAATCTTTATCGGATGAGGAAGAAGTTAAAACCTCTTGGACTGAGAATTTGATAATACATCCCAACTCTAAGAAAGTATACTTTGATTACTTGATGTCTTATGTTGCGCTTATTGACTTACTGGTTAATATCTACTGAATATTTGTAGCAGAGCCCAGCGTAGTTTTCAATTTATTAGTTTTACCTTTGTTCGTCCTCGAAATGATACTGTGATCCTTAACTACATTCTACGTCGATGTAATGCTTGAAAATAGAATCGTGTATATCATAAAGAACTATCTCAAGAATCATTTCTTGCTAGATTTCATAGGAACATTTCCTTTCTTTTTGTTCAACATCGAATTCCTATCATTTAAGCTTATGAGGATCTTCAAGTTGACAACCTATATATCGAGGATAAATTCATTCACAGAGAGAATCTTGACGAAATGAGTTCATGATAGGAGGGAGTTAATCAACAGTGTGAAAAAGACAATAAGGTTCTTGATCTTCCTAACCTTCACGATGCACCTCCTCGCTTGCATTTGGATCTATATTGGACACAATTACGAAGATAATTGGATTGAAAAGGGTGAGAGTATACTGGAAGACAGTGAAAACAACCTCACTCTTTATATTGCTGCAAATTATTGGGTCATGTCTACCTTTACCACAGTTGGTTATGGAGATTTCTCAGGGCTTAATAATACAGAATACTTGTTTAATATGCTGGTCCAAGTTCTTGGAATCGGATTTTTTGGGTATACTATTGATAGTATTAGCCGGATGATGGGCCAGATTGATTCTATTAGCGAGTTCCAAGAGCAGGAAGAGGAAAAACAGAATATCTGGCTCATGAAATTAGGGAGGAGTAATAAAGATAAGATCCTCTCAAGACATTACTTCGATCATGCTAATTCGTTCTTCTCAAATTATTGGAGTATGGATTTCAAAACTCTGAAAAATCATGAATTTTATACTCAATTAAAACCTCAACTTCAAATTGAAGTTGATAACAACTGATTTGAAGAAGTCTATGATCGGTTTGAAGGATTCTTTTACCAAACTCAACAAGGATTCAAGAGAGAAATATGCCACAATCTGGTATTTGAAGAGTTTAGAATCTTTCCTCCCTATACTGACTCGTATGAAGGTGATAAATAAATCATTTCCAGATAAACAAAAGACCTTACTTCTAAAAGATGGGGAGATGCCAGATAGAATTTTTTTCTTTGTTGGAGGGGAGGCTTATGCCTCAAATAGCACTGGTAGATACAATTACTTCCAGCTTCCAGAGGGAGCATATTTTGGTGATACTCATGTTCTGATCGGACTTCCAATGAGTTATTCACTATTCTATAACAGCGAAATCGGGTGAGCTGCACTTACCATCAAAGCTGATATATTTCTAAACATTTGAAAAAGGTACCCTGATTCCTTTGCAAAATTACGAAAAAGAAGTGAGCAGAGGAGAAGAGTGCTAAGGACTTACAAATTTGAAGCTCTTAGCGACATAATCAATTCCTCAATTGAAAAGTTTAAAGGGGCTGCAAATTTTGAGGTAAATTTATAACATAAATCATAGAAAATAAGAGGAATGTATGACTTATTACTCAACGAGAATAAAGAAAATGAGATTGTCAAGGAAGCTAGGAACAGAATCAGCATTCTCAAAACACTTGAGCAAGGCAAAGGTATAGTAATCTTCATCCTGTAGCTAGTACAAGATCTTCTCGGAGAAGAGATGCAATTACAGTCCTTAAGGAAGAACAAGAGTATAAAAGAAATTCTATTAATTTTGGAAACATTCCTGAATTTGGAAGACAGGATATACCTAAGCGAAGTAAGGAAATAAGTTATTTGTAGAATTTGTGCTTCCAGAAATCTCCCAAGTGATAGATGAAGAGTCCAAAAATTTTAATACCTCAGAGAACTTGTTTAGAGAGCTGGAAGATAATTCTCTAAATGAAGGTTTTGACAAAAATCTTGATAAAAATCTTAACTTGATGCCTGATAAAATAGAGATGAGTGAATATGACTCTCCTTTAGCACATTCCAATTTGACAAAGAAGAAGTCAATATTATAAACTCAAGCCAAAGCGATAACAAGTTTATACAGATGATGGAGAACGATAAAACTATGAAACGCACACTAGACTTTCCTGAAAAAACCAGAGGATCTGCTGCTCTTACTGATGAAAACTTTAAGCTCACTCATAACAATATTGCTGGTCACCTTGATGAGCTAATTACCGATAATCAGCATAAAAATCTTGGTCCTGATAAAGTAGAGGATAGTGATAGGGGAGATAATAGAAGCGAAAATTCTGATAAGGAAAGAATATTCTTCAGTGGCGGCAGTGATAGTTCTGAAAATAACAGCAGCATACCTTCTTCCTCCAGTAGTTCAAGTAGCCCAAGTACCAACAGAAGAAGATCAATGCCTAATTTTAGTATATCAAGCTTAATCTTGTAGGAACGAGGATAAATTTAGAAGAGGTAGATAATCCAAGATCTGCAAGGATTAGGGAGAAATTTTTCCAAATACGTAAGTTATTAGCCACATGGTTATAATTAATAATATAGATCAAACTCTTTGAAATAACTCAAAAACTTCTAAAGAACTTTTCCTTAAAAACGAGATTTGCGAGGAATATTGTATGCCTAATGCTTAAAAATTTAGGCAAAGATGAGCCGAATGAGATAAACATTGTAGAAGAAGCTATTCCTGACTGTAACACTCCTTCTAAAATTCTAGGAATTCAGTATCTGTTGACTAAGTATTCTCAGAAAGATCATTCTGTACCTAATTTTTCTAATTATTCGAGCAACTTCAACCGAGAGAAGGAAGACGATCAGAGGTATTTTCCTTGCTAATTTTAGAGCGAAATATTCAGAACTTCTCTCGATTGTTCAAAAAACTAGCAAAAGCCTTGAAGTTATCAAAGGTAATTTGAGATTTTACCAGTCTAGAAAAATACAAAAACTCTTTTAAAGAAGAACAAGATTTAAGGAGAGCAAAATTTGATCAAGCTCAGGCCAAAATAAAGAACATTCTCTCGCATCGTAAAAGAAATACTTAGAGCGTTGGATATCTAAGTTAGTGCCTTTCTTGTTCTCAATCATTGCATGATCACATAATTAATAAATTTCAATAAAAAATATTAACTTAGGGGTTTTGGGGTTTTGGGGTTTTGGGGTTTTGGGG